CAGATGGGCTCTGAGTCACCACTCCGCATCCCCGCCCTCATTCACACGGATATGACACAACCCTTCTTGAAGTGATGAATTACTGGGTTATTATTTACATATTTAATTATAGCTCAGTTAAAACAGAAAACAAAAAACCACCACCACCGCATTAGGGGCCAGGGAGTGTCTGCTGACGGGTGGAACGACGCAGAAAAGGAGGGTGGGCAGTCACGTATGACAAGACACTGTCCTCGGTGTCGCTGGTTGTACGTGTACAAATGGTTGGCCTGGCTTATGGTATATCGGTCTCTTGTCAAGCACAGCGAATGGCAAAGCAGAGCCAGGCGTCCATGATGGTGACGGGCATTCGGAAGAATCCCTTTGGGCCTGGGGGCCGCGTTTGTGTGGGAAGGAAAGCCCTGCTGATGCTGTCCTCTGTTTTGAAGGAAGATGATGCTCCTGCTCTGTGAAGAAGGCCTCCGGGTGGTCATCCACACCTCCAACCTAATCCACGCGGACTGGCACCAGAAGACTCAAGGGTGTGTAAGGGTTCTGTGTTTGCCGAGAAAGGTCCAAAGGCTGGGCGTTCTCCCTGCTCCTTTCCGACTTTCTTTAAAGGGTGAATTGGGTGGGAGTTTACAGTAGCGGATCTTTCATCAAATGCCAATGATTTGCTCTGTTTCCTTCCTCACCCCCCCTCCTTCCCCATCTCCGTCTTGTAGGCTATGTCCTGCCATTAACACCTGTCCACTCTCAACCTAGAGCTCGCCCTCTTCCCCTCCCCTCCCCTCCCTGGCAGCATGAAAAAGAGGTCTGTGCCGAGAGGTGCTCTCCCATCACACTCCTCCAGTTCCACTCTCGGGGTAGCGGGAGTTTGGTGGTGCTGAGCAAGGCATTGGGCAGCTAGCCACGTGTCTGCTCAGGGAGAGAAAGATGAGGCTGTTAAGACTTACAGTCTTTCACACCTTATCATTTGAGCTCCCTTTTAACCCATTTTAAAGTTCTTTCTCTTTTTTTAAGTTAAGAGGAAGTACACGTGGCTTAAACTTCTGGCGAATCCCCTCCGAGGCCAGAGAAGTGAATAAACTTGCTGTCCTGCAGACTGGCCTGGACGGTGGATTGTGGCAGATGCAATTAAGTTAAAATCTAACACCTTACCGTTTGATCTCCCTTCTGACCTGTTTTAAATTCATTCTAGTTTCTAATATTTCCTGCCTTCTTTCCAGTGAAGGCTTTTCTCTGGCTTGTTTTGGGGTGGTGGTGTTTTTGGTTTGGGTATGTTTTCCTGACTATGAAATCCAGGATAGGTGAGAGATAGAGAGGCAGTGACTGGATGATGGGCTTCTATGGGAGGATGGCAAGGAAGCTTGGGGGAAATAGGGAGCTAATGGCCATGCGTAAAAGAAGGAAGAAATGTTCTCGAGCGGATGAGGGTGATGACTGTACAGGTTTCTGTTGTGACTCTTGAAGTGTGTAGTAGGTGAATTACATGTCAATAAAGTATTTGGGGGAAAAGAAGATGAAAGGGTGGGGCAGCATTTACCCAAGGACAGCATCCAGGGGCTGGGAAAGGCAGGATGGAAACAGGATGCACAGGGCCAAGTGGGGCCACGTACCCTAAAGGGTCTGCGGTGGGTGAGACAATTATTGAAGGTAAAGCAGGTGGTCTGCTCTGTAAGCCTCTGCCTGATTCTCAACAGTGAATGCAGGGAAAATAAAGTCACCAGCACACAAGAACAAAAAGATTCACAGCCTCAGAAGCCCTAGGGAGCAGTTCTGTCATAGGTCGGTGGTTCTCAACCTTCCGAATGCCACGATCCTTTAATACCCTCCAACCACAAAATGATTTTCATTGCTACTTCATAACTGTAATTTTGCTTCTGTTATGAATCGGGTGACCCCTGGGAGAAGGTCATTCGACCCCCAAAGGGGTCACGACCCACAGGCTGAGAACCGCTGCCATAGAGGGTCACTATGAGTCAGAATGGATTCAGTGGCAGTGGGCTTGCTTTCAGGACAACCAAGCCGATTTGGTGCACAGTTATCCACAGCCACTGCTAATACACGTGCAAACTTATACAAGGGGACTTTGTTAGAAGTCTTGGGAAAATTCCATGATCTTTTAAACCCTTCTCTTCTCGTGGACCCCCTTAAATACACTTTTTTGTGGGGTTCAGGAGCCCCTACCCCCCCACTCCCGTGTTAGACTGGTTAAGCGCCTGACTGCTAAGGGAAAGTGCAGCAGTTCAAACCCACCCAGTGACTCCACCGGGAAAAGGCCAGGTGACAGTCAAGAAAGCTCTGTGGGGCACTTCAGCCTGAGTCCATGTTGCGGCGGCAGCACCGCCGCAACAGTGTGGGTGCAGACTAGCCACCGAGTGGACGTACCCACCGTTTACTGCTCACTCGGCTGCTGCACCTGTGCTTCCCCCAAAACATCCAAGCCAGATTGTCCCCCTCGTGAAAGGCAGGACTGGCTTGGGGACTCGTGGAGCCCCATGGGAAAAAGCCATTCCGATGGCTATAGCTTGCTTTTAAACTCACTGCCAACGAGTCCGTTTGG